CCTGCCTCTCCACCTCACCTGGGAAGCCCATGCCTACCACACAGAGCTTCGCCCTCGACCCCAAGTATGCCACCCCCAAGGTCATCCAGGCACAGGGCAAGGACTGCTCCAAGGGACCCTGCATACTGCCCATCGTGAAGGATGGGCAGAAGGTCAGCAGCACTCACTACTACCTGCTGCCTGAGCGCCCTGCCTACCTGGACAAGTATGAGAAGTTTTTCAAGGAGGCCAAAAGTCCTGAGGAGGTACCAGCATCCCGCCTGGTCACCACAGCCACCGTCCGTCCCATGGTGCAGCAGCTACCGCCAGACTCCAAGGCCAACTTCTCCTCCAACAACAGCAACCCTGGGCCCAAGTGCTTGGTGAAAGCCTCCTGCAGTCTCCAGAAGATCGTCTATGATGGGCCGGATGGCTGCCGCCCTGCTGACAAGATCCGGCTGGTAAGTGGCATCCCTGGCAAAAGGGGTCACAGTGGCCATGGGCTTACTTGGGCAAGAGCCATCCCCACCCTGTGCCTCAGTTTCCCCAAGTTCAATCCCGGGGGGGTTGGCTACAATGTTCCCTAGGTGTGCTGTGGGACATCAGCGTCACTGCAACTCCCGCATGGGGTTTGCTGACCCTTATAACTCAAATTAGCCCTATTCATGGCCCCAGGGAGCAGAGGAGAAAGGAGCCTGTCACTGCAGTCCCCTTAGGATCTCTGGGCTGGATCTGTGGTGTTCAGAGTCTGCTCAGGAGAGGCTGAAGATCCCAGGGATGCAGATGGTCCCAGCTCTGGGCTGATAGTGTTCCTGGAAACAGAGCCAGGGTGCAGAGCAGCCCCAGTGCTCCCCTGCTCCACTCAGGGGCTTCTTAGCACCCTGGGGTGGTGGCAGGTGCTGACCACAAGCTCCCACCAGGTGCAGGACACAGTGCATGGTGTGACCACCGAGGAGTGCCAGGCAGCCCTGCAGAACCATGGCTGGAGTATCCAACGGGCCATCCAGTACCTGAAGGTACCACATATCCCCATCCCCCTGTCGTGGCTCCCAGAAGGGTGGTGGCACCCCTGTCACCCCCTTGCCATGCCCTGTCCTCTTGCAGGTGGAGCAGCTCTTCTGCTTGGGGCTGAAGTCCCGCGTCGAGTGCCACCGGGTGCTGGAGATGTTTGACTGGAATCTAGCCCAGGCCAGCTCCCACCTCCTCGATCCCTACAGCACTACCCGCCAGAAGTAGGGGCACAGATGTATTTGGGGGTGGGGGGAGGTCTCCATGTCGTTTTGCTCTTGGTTGGCTGTCACCATCACCCCTTCTGAGCCTGTGTCCTTTTCTCTCCTTGCAGGCGGTGACAGCAGGGATGGGGCAAGCTGGGTTGGATCTGGAGCAGGCATCTGGCTGTGGGGCCACCTCCCTGGTGTCTGTCCCCCCACACAACCTGCTGCTGGACTCTGGACTGAGCCCCCATGTACGGGACAGGAACACCCCGAAAGGGAGCCTGCCCAGCACCCCAGACTTGCCAGGGTGGCTGCACCCTGCCTTTGGGGATGGGCTCTGTCCCCTGGCCCCGTGTTGGATTGTTTTTGTAAAGAGAAATGTAATTTTAATATATATATTATATATATAAAAATATTCT